TAAATCCATGTATTTATGGTCAACTGATTTTTGACAAGGAGACCAAGACCATATAATGGGGCAAATAATTGTGTTTTCAACAAATGGAATGGGAAACTGGATATTTACCTGCCAAAGAATGAAATTGCACCCTTATCACACCATATACAAAAAGTAACTAAAAATTTTTCAAAGACCTAAATCCTAGAGCCAAATCTATGACAGTCTTAGAAGAAATGTAAGGTAACAGTATGACTTTAGATTTGGCAATGGATTCCTGTTTATGACAACAAAATATGAATAGCAAAAGAAAAAAATAAATTGAACTTTATCAAAATTAAAATCTTCTATGCTTCAATTGACTCCAAGGCCTGAACTGTTTGATTCTTGTATGTAGTGTTCCTGTCTTCAAGAATCTGTCGGTCTGCATATTTGGATGCACAGTTCGACCTAACATAAAGCACAATGAAGTAAGAGCTCTCATAGAAAATCACAGAAGCTCATAAACAGAAGATGAATAAACACAGAATATGGAGGAAAGATCTGCTTGGGAGAATGTGGTAATGGTCATGAAACCACTGTGGAGGACAAGTAATATTTTAAAAGCATAATTTTCTTTGGCTCTTCTTATTTTCTGCTTTTCTAGTTTTTAATGATGGTAGAGAAAGTTAATTATCATAAATAGTTTAATAGAAGACTTGTAGCTAGTTTTGTCATAGAATGATTTTACTCTCTTTACTGAATCTTAAAACATATTAAATATCTTAAAAAGCAGCAATAATTGCTGTATTGTACTGGCACAAAGATCAAGAGACAGATCAATGAATTCAGGGTCCAGAAATATGTTCAAGCACATAGAATAGAGCATCTCTTATCAATGGAGAACAGATAAATTTTTAATAAAAGTTGTTAGGATGAGATCATTTGGGGAGAAAAAAAAAAAAAAAACAAACCCTTAAAGCTGGATCTCTGTTACTTACAAAATAAATTCTTAGTGGATAAAATTTCTAAATATAAAACATTCAACCCAAACAGTCCTTGAAAAAACATAGGCTAATGTCAGGGAAAAAACAGAAAACTTATTTTAGCCTTTACTTTAAAATAAATTACACATTTTATTGGTTATTTCTTTTGCAATGCAGAAGATTTTTTAGCTTGACATAGTTCCACTTGTTGATTTTTGCTTTTGTTTCTTGGTGTTATATCTAAAACAATCATTGCCAAGATCAATGTCAAGGAAGTTCATCCCTATGTTTTCTTATAGGAGTTTTATGGGATCAGGTTTTATGTTTAAGTCTTTAATCCATTTTGAGTTAATTTTTGTGAGGTGCAAGATAAGGGTCCAATTTCATTTTTTTGCATGTGGTTATCCAGTTTTCCCAGCACCATTTGTTGAAGACACTAGCCTTTCCCCATTGAGTGTTCTTGTCTCCCCTGTCATTTGTCAGTTGACTTTATATGTGGGGCTTTATTTCTGGGCTATTTTTCTTTCATTGGTCTATGTCTATTCCAGTACCATACTGTTTTAATTGTATAGCTTGGTAGTATAGTTTTAAGTCAGGAAATGCGATTCATCTGGCTTTGTTCATTTTTTTCAGGACCACTTGGCTATTTGGAGTCTTTTGTGGTCCACACAAATTTTAAGATTGCATTTTCTTTTTTTTTTTTTTTTAAGATTTTATTTAGTCATTTGAGACACAGAGATAGAGAGAGCATGAGCAGGGAGAGAGGCAGAGGGAGAGGGAGAAGCAGGCTCCCTGCTGAGCCAGGAGCCTGATGTGGGACTCGATCCCAGGACCCTGGGATCATTACCTGAACCGAAGGTAGATGCTTAACAACTGAGCCACCCAGGTGCCCAAGATTGCATTTTCTATTTCTGTGAAAAATGCCACTGGAATTTTGATAGGAATTGATTTGAATCTATAGATGGCTTTGTGTAGTATGGACATTTTAACAAAATTAATCATTCCTATAGGATGAAAGAAAATATTTGCAAATCATATATATTGGATAAGGAGTTAATATTCAAAATATATAAAAAATTCATACAACTCAAGAACCAACACCCCCCTGCCCCTGCCAAATAATCCGATTAAAAATGGCAGAGAAACTGAATGGACATTTTTCTGAAGAAGACATCCAAATGGCCAACAGGTACATGAAAAGATGTTCAACATCACTAATCATCAGGGAAATGCAAACTGAAACCACAATTAGATACTACCTCACACGTGTCAGAATGGCTATTATCAAGGAGACAAGAGATAAGGGTTGGTGAGGATGTGGAAAAAAGGGAAGCCTTATGCTCTAGAGGTTGGTGGGAATATAAATTGGTTCAGCTACTATGAAAAACTCTGGATGCTCCTCAAAAAATTAAAAATAGAACAATATAATCCAGAGATCTCACTTCTCAATATATACCCAGAAGAAATGAAAACAGGATATCAAAAAGATGTCTGCAGAAGAGGTATCTACACTGCCATGTTTACTGCAGCATTATTCACAAAAGGTATGATATGGAAACAATCCAAGTGTCTGTCAATGGATGAATGGATAAAGAAAATTTAAAAAAAGAAAAGAAAATATGTGAAAGACAAATACCATATGATATCACTTACATGTGGAATAAAAAAAAAAAAGCCAAATTCATAGAAACTTATAGTAGAATGGTGGTTACCAGGGAGTAGGGAGGTAGGGGTGGGGTGGGGTAATTGGGGAGATGTCCCAGGGTACAAACTTGCAATCAGAAGAATAAATTCTTGAGATTTAATGCATAGCATAGTGATTAGAGTCAACAATATTGTATTACATACTTCAAAATTGCAAAGAGACTGAATTGTAAATGTTTTTACCACAAAGAAGAAATGGTAACTGTGTGACTTGATAGAAGTGTTAGCTAATGCTAGATGGGTAGTCATATTGCAATATATAAATGTATCAAATCAACATGTTGTGCTACTTAAATTCACACAATGTTACATGTCAGTTATATCTCAATACAAAAACTAATAAAAATAAAACAAAATAAATTGCATATGATAAAAGATCTAATTACATACAAAAATTTCAACCTAATTTTAAGAAGAAAATATATGTAAATTTTGTCTTTATATTCTTCAAGAAAGTAACTCAGAAGCATGTTAAAATGCCCTAAAGCTCTATCTCTTACTTGATCTTTTGCAATATCCTCATAAATGCTCTTTCTGTTTTAGCCTTTGTTTTCATCCTCTATAATCTATTCTCTGCAGTGCAGGTAGAACTATCCTTTAAAATTAAGTCAGATACAGTGTTCAAAATCTCCCAGTTGCTTTTCACATCATTGCCCACGAGGTTCTACCTGGTTTGATACCTGCCTCCTCTCTGACCTCATTTGTTTCTCTCTTCCTTTGCTCATCCACGAGGCCTTTGGCCTCTGCCATTCTGCCATTCTTCACACACGCTCAGCAGGATCCTGCCTCACTTGCTGTTTCTCTGATTGGAGACCCCTCCCTCACTTCCTTCTGGTGTCTGATTAAACGCCACTCTCTCAGAGAGGCCTTCCTCAACTCCTTTATGTAAAGGAGCAGGCCCATATCCCCCAGCACTTTGATTCTATCTCCTGCCTATCCTTTGTACAACATAGGAATCATCTCATATTTTGACAATTTTTGTCTATCTCCTTTTGCTAGATTGTATGCATTTCTAATCCTTTTATATCTCTGGCTCCTAGAAGGGAGTCTGACACAGTGTAGGTACTTAATGATAAATAGATAAAGGGAAGAATTTTTGACTATATAAAACTTGAAAAAATTAACAAAAAGCAAAATAAGCAAAGTTGAAATGAAAGACCAACATTAAACTAGGTAAATTTATTTTCAACCTCAATCATAGAAAAGGGTAATTTAATACACAAAAAGCTCTTTGGAAAAGACCAATAATACATATATAAATAGAAGAAAAAGTAATGATAAAAAATGCAAAAATAATATAAGGTTTGCAAACCCACTAGTACTCAGTGAAATGGAAGTAGAAATACCATTTCTCACCAGTAAGATTAGGGAACATTAAAAAAATGTGACAATCTGCAGGGTTGGCAAGCGTTGGGGAGGATAGAAACACTCAGGCAGTCTTGGTGTCAGGGCATGGTAAACGAGATTGGAAGGCAATTTGGAAATATTTGTTAACATTTTAAATGTGCATCTGTTGCACTTTTAGAACTCTTTATAACTGAAAAACTCAAAAGAGTACACAGCATTTACATGACAAAAGTCCATTCAGTTTCTTGAAATAGTAGAGACATGAAACCAGTCTACATGTCCTAATGATAATTCCATTCCCTGGCAGAGCATACAAGCCTATTTATCCAATCTCTGTTCAAATAGCCTCTACTGCTTTCTTTTTCTTTTTTTAAGATTTTATTTATTTATTTGACAGAGAGAGAGAGCACAAGCAGGGGGAGCAGCAAGCAGAGGGAGAAGTAGGCTCCCTGCTGAGCAAGGAGCGGAATGCAAATGCGGGGGCGATGGGGGGGCGGGTTCCGATCCCAGGACTCTGGGATCGTGACCTGAGCTGAAGCCAGACGCTTAACCGACTGAGCCACCCAGGCGCCCCCTTCTTGATCACCTTATCTAATACATGCTCCAGATTTTGTCTTGTTTCCCAATATGTGAGGAGCACTCCAGTATTTATTAAAAGAAATCTATCAATACTGTCACGAAAAGATAGTCATAACACGTTGTCAAGATTAAAAAACAAATCACAGGAACCTGCAAGAACATAAACCAATCTATGAACAGTGATTTCTTTAGAGGAGTAGAATGGAGACTTCGCCCTTTTGCTTTATCTCACACTCCACTGCTTGATTTAATTTTTACCGTGGAGCATGTGTTTCCATGACACTTTAAAACATCCAAGAACAACAAAATGCTGACATCATCTTTAAAATAGTTGGCTACTTGTACTGATTGCTATCCTTTAGCAGTTTCCTGTTGGGGTTGGTGTTTGGAATTATAACTTTATTGCATTACATTTTCTCTCTACAGAATGGGTGCGTGAGGGAGAACACGCATGGAGGCATAAGATAGGACATATGAACGTGCACAAAGGTATATGCCTGGGAGATTTGCTTCTCACTCTAGCTCCCCTTGGGAGGTGTGGGGCACGTGGGGATCAAACACAGAGGAATTGCAATATACGCAAGGGGAGGGAACACCCTCATTTTTCATTTTTTACTCTTACAACAAGCACCCCTCCCCATCACCACGAAAGCAGTACTTTTAATAGAGAATATGGCGGCTAGCAGCACGTGTCCAGTATTCCAGTGAGACTCTGTTAGTTGAGGGGACTGGCATTACAACCCCTGTTTTCTCCATATTGTTATTCTGTACTAATCTTGGTGAAACTTATTTTGTATTGGGACACACTGTATTTTCAGACAATTTTTAAATATAAAGGATTTCCTGTGAAATTTTCATCATCCTTCATAGATACTCATGGCATAGTCTCTTAACTTCTTACTAGGACTAAACAGGACTTTTGGAATGTCCTTCTGGTGTAAAGCTGGATTTGAAATCTATAACAAGACATGGAGTTAGAAAAGGTAGATAAGAACTCTACCTCATGTCTTTCGAGTACTATGACTGTTACTAATACTAACAATAGCCATTATTATTACTAGCATTTATTGAGTGCTCAGATTATGCCAAAAACTATTCCAGATGGTTTATACATGTATAGACTCAATATATGTAAATTATTTAGAAGTGTGGTTGGTGCATATTAAATGCCCACAAGTATTAACTACTATTATTATATATAAAAAGGTGGGGGGGGCGCCTGGGTGGCTCAGTCGTTGAGCGTCTGCCTTTGGCTCAGGTCATGATCCCAGAGTCCTGGGATCGAGCCCCGCATCGGGCTCCCTGCTCCGTGGGAAGCCTGCTTCTCCCTCTCCCACTCCCCCTGCTTGTGTTCCCTCTCTCGCTGTCTCTCTCTGTCAAATAAAATCTTTAAAAAAAAAAAAAAAAGGTGGGAACTATTATAATTGTATATTGGAGAAAACCTGAGGCATTAAGTTTCAGGAAATTGCCCAAGGCCATGCAGCTGACAAATGACATTATCAGGATTTGAACCAAGGCAGTCTGACTCCAGAGTCCATTCTCTTAACATTAATTCCATACTTCTTTTCAGTAAGAGAAATCTAACATGTTACACTGTGTCATGTAAAAGATTCATATGATTTGATCCTTAAATTAGATGGGGGCAAGAACACTGAGAAAAATTGGTTCCTTTGTTGTATCTTGCCAGAAAATTCCAGAGAAGTCAGAACTAGCCACTCTAAACATTAAAAGAAATAATTTGAACCCAAACTTAAAAAGCATTCTTCTGTGTGGTGTAAGAAAGTAGATTTTAAGTATAACAGAGCTATGTTGCACAATAGTATGTGATTGAAAAGGAAAGGACTGGAGTTTTTTAGGCTGGTGGATTGTAATTACCTAATTGGAATATTAATTCCTTTTGTCTTCCTTTGAAGGATGTTTCATCTTTTGTTTTACTCCTTGGTGGTACATCCAATTACTGAAAGCAGGATGTGCCGGTAAAAAAAAAAAAAAAAAAAAAAAAAAAATCCACTTCCCAGCATTGAGGAGTAAACTCACATCTACTACTAATTGTTGTCATTGAAACTAAGTACAACACAGAGCCAAAACAACAAATGGTAATGTTAATAATTAAAAGAAGAAGAGGGAAAAGAAGAACAATCTCCCTATATTGTGTAATAGGAAAAACAGGGAAAATACGTTTCAGGGCTTAGGCTTGCTTCCCCAGAATTGAGACTACTAAAAGGGGAGAAACTTTGGAATGAGTTAGTTGGACTTGTCGGTTTCATTTCATCTTACTTTGTGAAATGTAGAGGTGGTACAAGGCTCATATATTTACTGGACACTGCTCTGCTGAAAATGCTGAGGTCTACATTCCCACCGTCCATCTGAACTGCAGCAGCATTACTCACAGTGGACAAGTTCTCCCTTTGGCATGTTTCTCTAATGATAACAGAATCCTTGGTATAAAACTTAATGCACCTATTGCAGTCAAATGTCAAAGGAAAAGAAAAGAGGCCATTTTAGCATTTTGGAATAAAGTGTTGAAAAATCCTTCAGAAAAAAAAAAAAACTATTATCTAGCTATGTATCTATCTATGTATCTATGTATCTATGTATCTATTATCTATCTATCTATCATCTATCCATCTATCTATCTATCATCTATTATCTATTTATCTATCTGGTAGAATCAAAGACTAGATCAGACCAGACCATACCATACTTTCGATGAAGTCTACGTTTTTATATTCTAGTGAATAGTAGAAAATATGCTCCAATTTTAAATCTATATACAAAGAGGTTCCAGAAGCTCCCTCATGAACTCCAATGGCAAGAGGTACAGGAAAGATATTTACTTAATGTATTTATTGATGTTCTACAGTTCTACAACTGTAGAGAGATGATTTTACTTTATTGTTTGTATTGAGATGCTGCCATTTTGAAGGAACTAGAGCTGTCTCAGGTATTCTATTTAAGTGCTCAAACTCTCCCCTCCCCAGGTAAACAAAAAAAGACTTTTATTAGAGAATTCTCTTTTGAATTTGCCAGATTTTAGATTCCATTCTGTGATTCATTAGTCAAACCTTTTCTAAGCATTAGAGGTTTTGTTTTCTTGTGTGTTTCCGGATTGTATATTTAACGATTTCAACTCTATCTCTCTCTCTTTTTTTTTTAAGATTTTATTTATTTATTTGTGAGAGAGAGAATGAGAGAGAGCACATGAGAGGGGGGAGGGTCAGAGGGAGAAGCAGACTCCCCGCCGAGCAGGGAGCCCGATGCGGGACTCGATCCAGGGACTCCGGGATCATGACCTGAGCCGAAGGCAATCGCTTAACCAACTGAGCCACCCAGGCGCCCCTATCTCTTCTTTTTAATGAGTGCACATGAATATCTTAGATGTGAGATTTTCCATATGTAGGGATTGTGTCTGTTATTTATTCTCTACAGAAGCCAGTACAGTTCTTAATACGTTTTCTGATGATGATGATGATGCTGACGAAGGGAGGAAGATGACACCAGGTTAAATGTGGCCAAATATTTCCAGAATGAAAGATGCTGGCTTCAGCTTCTGCTCCCCTTATATTAGGTGGGAGAAGCAGCAGTTGAAATCATGGTATGCAAGTCAAGTAGCTGTAATTGCCAAAGGTCAGGGCTGGTCTTGGTAACAAAGACCCTACCTTTAATTTCATTTTAATTAATACTTGTTAGATTTATCCTTTATAGGTATCCCAAGATCCTATTTCTGAAATCCAGTGCTTTTGATAACCCTCTAAACTTTGTGACCTCTTAAAATTCAAGAACTATGCTTTCTTTACATCACCCAAAGGACAAAAACATGAGATTAATACAGTAGCATATCTCTCTTCTGAATGTTGTCAGTCCATTCTTCTGGACTCCTGTTGGGTTATGACTGTTCAATTAATTATCCATCTAATTGCCCAGGCCATCAGCCCTTATTGTTTCCACCTTCCCAGTGGCCACAATACCAGTCAGGATAGGCTAGATTTACGCTATAATGACTAACAATCCTAAAGTCTCAGTGGATGTGTCAGTTTTCCACTGCTGCTTACAATTTACTACCACTCAGTAGCTCAAAACAACATATATTTATTATCTCACAGTTTTAATAAGTCATAAGTATGGGCATGGTTTACTGGAATCTTTTGCTTAGGATCTCACAAGGCTGCAAACAAGAGGTTGACCTGGTTGCATTCCTTTCTAGAGGTTGGAGTCCTCTTCCAAGTTCATGTGGTTGTTAGAAATCAGTTTCTAAGATTGTGACACTGTGGGCTCAGGCTGTTTTGTTAGGCGTTGGTAAGGGGCTGTGTTAAGGACCTAAGGCTTCACACAGTTTCTTGCCACATTGTCCTTTCTTTGGGCTGTCCATACCAATGCAACTTTCATCTTCAAGGCCAGAAAGAGTCCCTCCCCTGCAGTCTGTTGAGGTAGAGTCATTAACAATGTAACATAGTTATGGGTCTAATGTCCCCTCATCTTTGACAGATAGCATCACCTATTCAAGGTGTTGACTGTCTCCTCCGCTTTGCCATATTCTATTGGTAAGAAGCAAAACACAAATTCTGCCTGCACTCAAGAGATTATGCACGGTTGTGACTCATAAGGAGTCCCTTTAGGCTGTGCCTGCCACAGTGGTTTAACAGATGGAGGGGTTATTTCTTATGCATGCAAAATTTGTTGTAGTTCTGAGTAAATATACAGCGGTTTTCCTCCAAGTAGAGATGCAGCCATCCAGGCTGCCTCAATCTTGTGACAATTTCATCCCAAGTCAAGATCATGATCACCACGCAAGGGAGCAGAGTGGTGGAGTCTCACACCAACAGTTAAAATGATCACCTATCATTACCCAATGGCCCAAACTAGCCACAAGTCCCCACCTTACCACAAAAAGATAGGACGTGCAATCTTCCCAAATGCCTGAGCAGAGAGTAAACGGGGCATGAGTGAGCAATCCTGGTTTCCACCACAATTATCCTAAGAAATCTTCCTTAAAATTTTTGATGGTATGCATATGAATTTATTTTATTATCAATATGCTTTATATGGACTGACGTGTGTGTCTTCAAAGTTCATTGTCAAGTTCTAACCCCCACCGTGACTGTACAAGATAGGTTTTTAATTATGTAATTGAGATTAAATAAGGTCTTAAAGGTAGAGCCCTAATCCAATGACTGCTGTCCTTATAAAAAGAGGAAGAGACACCAGGGATGCACAGGCATAGAGAAAAGATCATGTGAGGACCCAGCAAAAAGTTGTCATCTGCAAGTTAAAGGAGAGAGATCTCAAGAGAAACAAAGTCTGCTGACACCTTGATCTTGGACTTCTAGGCTCCAGAACTGTCAGGAATACATTTCTATTTTTTGAGCCACGTAGTCTAATATTTTGTTAAGGCAGCTTTAGCAAACTAATACCACACAAAAGAAAAAGAAATGTAATTAGCACAATATTTAAAGTTTTATCATTCACTTTTTTGCTTATTGATTTGGATGGCCATCTTGTGAATCATATGTTTGTTTGTTTTTAAATTTCCATTCTATAGATCAGTAGACAGAGATTCTGAGGAGGAAATATAACTTAGGCAAAGTTACCCAGTTAACAAGTGTATCAAACTCAGTACATTGTTTACTTTGTGTACTGGGGCAATTGAGATTTTCAGTAATAAGTCATCTCAGGCAAAACTGGTTATTTAGGTAGCCTATAAAAACATTGGCTTTTGGGCATAAAGAGATATGTGAACTAAGCTCTCTACCTTAGGTTTATTAAGAGTTGACCCATGGAAACTTCAATTTAATTGAAAATTCCCATACAGCATTAATTTTAGCAACCATAGCTCCAAGTTTAATAATGCAGTCAAATTTCCTAGTCTTAGAAAACAATATTTGAGGCAACTAATGGTAGCAACAACATTTTCTGGTGCTAGGGTACATATGTTAATAGCCAGGTGTCTATGAATGGAATATTCAGGGATCTCAGTTTGGGTAGCTTTTGCTAGTAGGATTGTAAATATGACTGGGGGAGTGAAGAGATTATTGTTTAAGTAATAGGGAAATTCCTCCCACCCTCATTAGATGTTTGGTCTTGTTAAGTGCACTCTTCCACAATGTGGGCAATCACTAGTTTCCATGGTACATTTAACATAATTAATATATGCATTTGTATTTGCAAGGATCTTTCTTTTTTCCTCCTTGTTCATGACATGAACCTTACCTTTATACCCGTCTTCTTTACTGGTTACCCACATCTGTCCTTAAAATATACATTTGTTCATTGAATATTAGAGCATCAAATTTGCTAAAACTCATTAATGGGTCATAAATAATGTTTTTTCTCTATCTCTTTTTCCTATTGTCCGAGATAGTTTAAACTATTTGCTTAATTTCTTTGTGTTAATACACATATTTAGTGTTACTTGGCTACAGTTTTCGTGAGAATTTTCTAATAACCCTACAGCTTAACTCTCTATTTATTTTTATTTTAAAGATTTTATTTATTTATTTGAGAGAGAGAAAGAACGAGCAGGGGAGGGGCAGAGGGAGAAGCAGACTCCCCACTGAGCTGGGAGCCTGATGCATCCATCCCAGGCCCCTGAGATCATGACCTGGGCCAAAAGCAGATGCTTAACCAACTGAGCCACCCAAGCACCCCTAGCTTAACCCTTTAAACCATCGTTGCATCCCAATCTTATTTTCTTTGAGACTTGAATCTTTTTTGTTAATTATGACAAAAGTTCATTTTCTATTCCCCGCCCCCCATCATCACAACTAGCCGTTCCAAGTCACTTTGGTGTCTGTCTGAAGATGTAGTTGGCTATATCCCATCCCCAAATGTCAACTGCGGCCACAGTCCAGTATCATGTTGGAACGCCCAGCAACTTTCTTGCTTCGATGTGAGCTGAGGACAGTCTCAAATTCAAATGCACCTCAGGCTGTCCCCAGAGAGCTTCAGAAAGTGGTGAGCTGTTATTTCCAGCTAAGTCAACGGGGGTGTGTGTGATAGAGGGTTTGCTTTAGGTTAACAGACTGCTGCAGTGTTAATAAAAACATATGCAAAACTGCACACGCAGTCTTTGTTTTTTCTTAAATAAGAGCCCATTAAAAATAACTATATGATAATTAATGAGGAAGGAAAGTACTACAGTGTAGATGGTTTGTCAATATTGTAGTTAGGTCATTCATCTGTGGAGCAGTGATATTCACCTACTTTCTCCTTTGTTTCAGAGATGTAGAGTTAATATTTCACATCTTGTTTTAGACACTCTCTCAAGCATTATTTTAAACAGGCAAACAGGGACCACTTCCAAGATAAAGAAAGTCACCATTCTTTGATGATGAATTCATAATGAAGGGAATCCTCATTCCAAATGGACTTCTGTAAGGCACCATTCCCCTGAAACTAATGTTCCTAAGTATGTGCGGAAGACCAGTTAATGAATGTTAAATTAAGTTGTAACATACTTAGAGACATGGGCAATGTTTATGTGACACTAGTTTACTTTAAAACACTCCCCATGGACCTTTACAAAAATAATACAATAGCAACTTGAGATGAATATTTACAGTAGGTGGAAATAGTTTGGAAGTGCTAATTCCCAAACCGCTGTTTGTGAATGTACTGCTTCCTTGATCTATATTTTCTTAGGCTTCTTCAGGCAGAAGCAGGTCAGACTGCCAAGTTCAACAAGACAGTTTCTTACTTGAGAACGGGCAGTCCCCGCAGTACCGAAAAGGTAGACAGACATCAAGTAGACCAGGTTGCTGAAATAAAATCACTGAATTTGTCATGATGGTGCCTACATAGAAACTACTAGCTACATTTGAAAAAGGCCTGGAAATATGCAAACTCTTAGACAATATATCGCTTACGTGAAAAGCCTGTAAATAGTAATAGTTGGTCATTTTATACAAAAATGCTTTCTAAAAAATTCATCCCATTTGGTGATGAATGTCTCAGCAGCATCTTGTATCTCTCTATTCAGGCCTTATGTATTTGTAAGTTGTGAAGGAAATATTTTAAATCAAAGCCGTAAAATAAGCATAGTTAGAGAGCTAACATGAGGATTTTTACTTCATTTACATTCATTACATATTATGAGTTTAATTACCTTCCTCAAATAATACCAGTATGAAGGAAGGATGCTGAAGAAGGCGTACTTCTATGATGATTTTATTGATTGTGACTGATGGATGGCATCAACATTTCATAGTGAAGAATCATGGTTTTGTTACATCAGGAAAATTAAATTGGGAGAGTTATTTTCTTTCCCAGTGATAGTGGCAGTTAGAATATTTCACCTGTAATGAGATGTGTGCGTTATGTGCCATCGTGAACCACGGCTCAGCCATTAAATATATGTAAATGAAGAGAAACACAAGAGAGCCCGGGCATAATAACGTGCAGAACAGAGAAATGGATCCTGGAAAGTGATTAATTTATTTGATGATGCCTCAAGTGAGGAATTTTAGGTCACAAATGAAGTGACAGAATGACAAATTACCATTTTAAAGAATTTACTGGGCATCATTACTGAACAATTGTCAGGTAGTTTATGGTGGCTGAGAAGATGGTATAAATATAGATCTTTTCCTTATCTGAGATGAATTATTAATCACCTTTTTAAAAATCTTTGTGAGTGATGGTTGGCTGTCTGATTGGAAATAATGTGTTCTACAATTTTAACTAAATCCTAATATGATATGTAACAGGAATCTTTACAATTAAAGTCTCAGTGGAGAGTGGTAGGAGGTTTACAGTCAATTGCAGTTTTAATGTGATAGAAGAGGATGAATCCACTCGCAAATTTCAATAGATTTCCTTAGGTATATCATCCCTGCTGTGATGTTATTCAAATGTTTACAGTTTATTTTCATTTGAAAAATGACATTCAGATACTTAAATTGTTTTCCTTGGTTTATTAGTTAATGAAAATGAAATTCTAGTAATTACTATAGTTTTGCAGCCTGCCACATTATTTAAAGCGAAGTGACTCCCTTTGTCAGTGGCATTATAAATGTCATCTTCTTGTGTTTTGTTCAATTTTTGTTTGCTTTATCTATGTTATGTCCCTTCTCTGTCTATATGTCACCGTGTCTAATACCAGTACCAACTGGAGTGTGGAAGACAAAGTTAACGATTTGAAATAAAGACATTTTCCCAAGTTCGTTTTTTTTTTTTTTGTACATTTTGATAATTAAAGCACACACTAACCTACTTTGTACCCAGCACTAACCATTCCAGAAATAAAAACAAAACTCTGTCTTATGAGGTACACTGAAAAATCCAAACACATTTTAAAAGATCTGTTTGTGTCAGGTTGCTTAAGACAGAGTTCATAAATTTATTCATGTCTGATCAGCTTCTTAGATCAAATGTATTTACTATTGCAAAGTGTTGTTTTTTTGATAAGGATTAAAGACAGGGGTTGTTTTTTAAACAGTGTATGCTAGTTATCTAACAGAGTAGAAATGTCTAGAGAACTATCTTTGACAAGCTTGTTCCTAAAGCAAGCAAATAGCAGTTGCTGTTTTGCTTTTTAGACAGGAAGGCCCTAAAAAACTCATCTTTCACCTGGAAGAAAACTTGAGATTTTGCTCCTTTTGCGCTATTACGTGCATCTCCTTGTTTTAATCTTGATTCATTCTGAGAGTACATGAAAAATTTAAATAAGTATTCCCTGTGTTACCCATGACATCTTACATTGCTGAACTGGCAAAAAATTTAAATTTTGAATGTACATGCTACTTTTTAAACTCATTTTGCTTTTACTTTCCCACCACCCCCACCCCCCAACATGGGTGGTAGAATTTTACTGAATCTTTCTGCCACTAGAAAAAGAAAACTAAAAGAATTGTTTATAATTTCAGGTCCAGTCTCTACATGGCATGCTGAGTTTAGGGAAATCTGCGAGCTGCTTTCCTTTTCCACACAAAAGACACTTAGGTTTCCCTGATGTGCATAATGGCACGTTTCAGGTCAGTCCACTCCAGCATTTTTCCATTAGAGATGACCCTCACCTTTCATTTTTCTTTTATTCTTGCTTGCCACAGAAAATATAAACATGCAAACAAATGAATGAGGGCATGCCCCTCTAAGGAAAATTCAAATCCTGGATGAGGTGCTAGAGAGAGACTGGGCTTGTTTAACCTAGCACCGTTCGGAGTGATCAAGAGTGTATCAGAGGGGAGAAAAACTGTTGTATGTGAACTCAGCCCTTCTGCCACACTTTAAAAATCTTTCGTCTCCTTCCAGGTTACATCAGCTGTCAGAGGGAGTTGCAAAAATCCAATAAAGATGTTTGACTCCGAAGAACTGAGAGTGCGATAAAGAAGATTCCAAAGTAAAATAGTGAAGAATAGATTTTAAATGAACTTACAGGGCGCCTGGGTGGCTCAGATGGTTAAGCGTCTGCCTTCAGCTCAGGTCATGATCCCAGGGTCCTGGGATCGAGTCCCGCATCGGGCTCTCTGCTCCTTGGGAGCCTGCTTCTCCCTCTGCCTCTCTCTCTCTCTGTCTCTCATGAATAAATAAATAAAATCTTAAATGAACTTACAGACATGGGAGAGGAGATGCTTTATGCAGTCATAAGATGAGGATTTTTGTCTTTTTGCATGATTCAAAACGAGGATAGAGGAAGAGGAACATTTGATTAATTGAAATGTCAATGATTGGTCACTGTGTGCCAAGTGTATAGAAAAAAATACAAATATGTTGACTGTGCCCATAACAAACTTACTCACTGAAGACCAATTGGGCCCCCAAAGATGTCCAGACACTTCTTGTAATTCTGTAAGCTGAGATTTCTGAGAGTTTTATCACACCAAAATGATTTAATTATGTTCATTTCTGCTCTTTCTGTCAAGGTTGGTTTATTCCAGAAGCAGTGCTTCTCTGACAGCCTTTTCCCCTCCAAATTCTCGCAGTGGCATTCGTCCTTCCAAAGGGAAATCCAACCACATAGCTCCAGACACCTTCTCCTTACTTCCTAGTTCCCCAACACGTTGCTATAAAAATTTTCAAACACATAGAAAGTAAACATCCACGTAGCCGCTACCGAGATTCTACCATTGAGATTTTACTACACTCATTCAATCAAACATCTAACCATCCATCATCAATCTATCTGGTAATTTTTAAATGTATTTCCAAGAAAATTATGGACATTATTACATTTCCACTAAATACTTCAGCGTGTCATTCATTAACTGAACTTAGTATTTATTTTTGTGTTTTTTTTTCTCTTGAGCTAAATTTTACACACAATGGAATATATACTTGTTGAGTTTCAATAAATGCCTACACTTGTGTAACCCAAACCTCTATCAGGATGTAAGACATTATGATCACTCCAGAAAATTTCCTCATCCCCTTCCCATCAATGCCCTACCTCCTGCCCCAGCAGAAGAAACTGCTGTTCTGATTTTTTTACAACAAAAATTAGTTTTGGGGCACCTGGGTGGCTCAGTCGTTAAGTGTCTGCCTTCAGCTCAGGTCATGATCCCAGGGTCCTGGGATCGAGCCCGGCATCGGGCTCCCTGCTCAGCGGGAAGCCTGCTTCTCCCTCTCCCACTCCCCCTGCTTGTGTTCCTGCTCTCGCTATGTCTCTCTCTGTCAAATAAATAAAATAAAATCTTAAAAAAAAATAGTTTTGCCTATTTTAGAACCTCCTATAAAATGGAATTATACACAGATGGCTGGGTGGCTCAGTCAGTTAACTGTCTGCCTTCACCTCAGGTTGTGACGGGGTCCTGGATCAAGTCCCACATCAGGCTCCCTGCTCAGTGGGGACCCTGCTTCTCCCTCTGCCTGTCTGTGCTCTCTCTCTTTGACAAATAAATAATTAAATAATCTAAAAAAAAAAGGAATCATACGAAATGTACTCCTTTGTGTCTGGCTGCTTTTACTATAGAAATTTTTTTTTTTTTTTTTTTTTTTTTTTTTTTTTATTTGACAGAGACGGACAGCGAGAGCAGGAACACAAGCAGGGGGAGGGGGGGAGGGAGAAGCAGGCTTCCCGCGGAGCAGGGAGCCCCGTGCGGGGCTCGATCCCAGGACCCTGGGATCACGACCTGAGCCGAAGGCAGACGCTTAATGACTGAGCCACCCAGGTGCCCCTAGAAATTTTTTTGAGATTCACCCATGTTTTAGATACATCAGTAGTTTTCTTTTTATGGCTGAGTAGTGTTATATTCTCTGAATACACGGCAGTGTGTTTATCCACACTCCTATTAATTGACAATTGGGTTAATTTCTAAAGTTTTGTAGTATTATATTTTTTATTTTTCTATTGGGTCATTATGAATAAAGCCATTATTGGCATTCTTTCTTTGGACATGGATTTTTGCTTCTTTTGGGTAAATGTCGAATTTTTGGAATTGCTGGCTCATAAAGTGGACAGTTTTTTTTTTTTTTATTACAAAATCATTGTGCCAGTGTATATTCCATTCACAGCAAATCAAAATTTTGGTTGTTTTACCTCCTCGGCAACATCTGATGTCGTCAATCTTTTTATTTGAAACCACTTTGCATTTTTACTGTTTGTTTTCCCTTCATCTTTTCTGTATCTTCAGTCATTCTCTTTCTTCAAGATGAGGATAATGATTTTTTAAATCAGCCTTCAAACATGCTTTGGCGTGCTCGCTTCGGCAGCACATATACAAACATGCTTTGGCATTCTCCCCCTTAAAAAACAAAGAAAATAGGGTGCCTGGGTGACTCAGTCGGTTAAGCGACTGCCTTCGGCTCGGGTCATGATCCTGGAGTCCTGGGATCGAGTCCCGCATCGGGCTTCCTGCTCGGCGGGGAGTCTGCTTCTCCCTCTGACCCTCCCCCCTCTCATGCTCTCTGTCTCTCATTCTCTCTCTCGCAAATAAATAAAATCTTAAAAAAAAAAAAAAAAGAAAAGAAAAGAAAAGAAAAGAAAAAAGATTTTTTTGACCAAAAATCTCCCTTCAGCTACCAAATGATTTCTCCAGTCTCCTTAACAACTAAGCTTCTCCACTTTATCAGCTAAGCTGCCTCTACTTTATCACTTGAAATTTCTTGACTTCTAGATGTTGGGGCTGCTCTTTAGCCTTTGGTCCTAGACTTACTAATGTTCTGGTTATTCACGTTATTCATTTTCTCCTTAGGAATCGTGTTTATTCCTATATTCAAATCAATCCCAATGCCAACAATTCACAAACTTATATTTCTGGCCTGAACTTTCCTTTGAGTTTCATCTGTCTACATGACATTTTCACATTTCTATGATTCTGATTGCTCAAAGTTACCATATCTGATTTTGATCTTGTGATCCTCCAACTATGCTGTTCCTCCAGGATTCTCAATCTTTGCTAGGATTATATATTTCTTCTTCCTGAGATTAAAAAAAAAAATCTAATAATTTTCAAACCCTGTTAAACAACGACATATACTTCAGAGAAAAATTAAAATAATCTAAAAGAAATACCTTAAGTATCTGATGTCTAAGAAGAAATTAAGCAAGAGTTAGAATGAATTAAAAATCTATTTACAAAGAAAAACCTATTTACCGATACTTAGTGGCTGTAACTAAAGTCATTCACAGTGGAAAATTTGCAGCCTTAAGAGATTTATATCATAAAAGAAGAAAAGTAAACATGAATGAGTTAAACAATTTAATTCAGCTAATAGAAAAGGAATAAAAGAGAAATCTCAAATAAATGAATGATGCAAGGAACGGCAACCATAAAAGAACAAAATTGAATTGATGTAAGAAATAAAACAAGTGGCAGCATCGAAAAATGATTTTAGGAGAAGGATCTTAACACTGTTTAAGTTGCATATTCTGGGGGCGCCTGGGTGGCTCAGTTGTTAAGCGTCTGCCTTCAGCTCAGGTCGTGATCCCAGGGTCCTGGGATCGAGCCCCACATCGGGCTCCCTGCTCGGCGGGAAGCCTGCTTCTCCCTCTCCCACTCCCCCTGCTTGTGTTCCCTCTCATGCTGTCTCACTTTGTCAAATAAATAAATAAAATCTTTAAAAAAAAAAAAAGTTGCATATTCTGAAAAACTTAAAGTCTCTAGACTCATTTTAGAAGTGGAACAATATTATAGAGTAGAGCTCTCATCTGATAGAACTGATGTCTTTTTAAGAAGAGGTAGAGACACCAGAGATCACTCTCTCCACTTGTACACAGAGAAGAGGTCATGTGAGCACACAACAAGATGGCAGCCACCTACAAGCCAAGAAAAGAGGCTTCAGCATCTTGCCAGCACCTTGATTTTGGGACTTGCTAGCATCAAGAACTGGACCTGAGAAACAAACAGGGTTCTAGAGGGGAGGGGGGAGGGGGGATGGGTTAGCCCGGTGATGGGTATTAAGGAGGGCACGTACTGCATGGAGCACTGGGTGTTATACGAAAACAATGGATCGTGGATCACCACATCAAAAACCAATGATGTATTGTATGGTGACTAACATAACATAATAAAATTAAAAAAAAAAAAGAACTGTGAGAAATAAATTGCTGTTGTGTAAGCCAGCCAGCCGGTGGTATTTTGTAATGGCAGCCCAAACAACCAGTGCAAAGAGGAAAGAGTGAGGTATTTTAGTTGTTCCTGAGTGAGGGAAGATGATTTGGATATAAAACAATTTAACTGCAGAGGAGAAGGAAAACATGAGAAAACACACTATGATTTTTCCGATTTAATATCTGCATCTAAGAAATAATTGACAAGAGCCCTCCGAAATGTCTCTGAAACAGGTAAGTCATAGTAAAATCATCTGAAACTCTGTACTTGATAACTGCCAACAACTACACAAGGTGGTTACAAAATCTTCAGAAGATTTTAGACGGAGTGAACGGGAGAATCAGCTAAGCATTAGTAAATGAATTCCAAGGAATCAAGAGATTTTAAGTCGAAAAAAAAAAAGAAAAAGAAGTTTTAAGTGGGAAATTAGGTTTGCTACATAAAATAATATAACAAGGAGAACTAATATAAGATGTCTAAAACCTAATCTTGAAAATCTGGTACCTTACATGGCAGAAGAGACTTTACAGGTAAGATTAAAGTTTAAGACCTTGAGATAGGGAGACCATCCTGGATTATCTTGGGTGGGTCTAATCTAATCAATTGAGTCCTTAAAATAGAGAAACTTTCTTGACTGTAGTCAGAGAAAGGGATGTGATGACAGAAGTTCTTTAGAGACTCAGGAAGGGGACCATAAACCAAGGAATGGGTGGCTTCTAGAAGCTGGAAGAGTGATGAAAATTCATTCTTCCCTTGATTCTCCAGAAGAAAAAAAAAATGTCAGTCCTGCTGACATCTTGATTTTAGTGCAACCATCTCAGAATTCTGAATTACAAAACTGTAAGATAATGCATTTTTTGTTGTTAAAGACAGCAAGTTTGTGGTGATCTCTTACGGCAGTAGCAGAAAACAAATACAAATTTTGTTCTACACATTTGGACCAGAGCAAATAAAATAAAGACACATGAAAGTAATGTAAACATGCCAAAACCTGCCACAGCACACAAAGAAAATATTTGTTCAACCATACGTCTAATATAAGGATGCTGGCTACTAAAATACCTATTAGTTTATAGAATTTCCCAGTATGTGAAAGAATGTAAGCGTGTGTGCTTTGTACATATGCATATTTAGACAAATACATACATAGTGATCAAGTGGATTAAAGGAGTTAATACTAGAAAATATTATCAGTCATTTCATTGCATCTCATAATAATAACAACAAACACGCTTAGCATTGTCTATGTGACAGGCGTCGTTTTAAGTGCTTTACATATATTAAGAATTTTAATCCTCGCAACAATCCTGTGAGGTAAGTAGTTTATTTTTATCCCGTTTTGCAGCTATGCAAACTAAGACAAAAAGAAGTCCAGAAAACTGGCCAGGGTCCCACAAGGTGGCAAGCGGTGGAGTAGGAGCTTCAACCTGAGTGTTGCGCTTCAGAGAAGCTGCTTTTAAACTGTACCTGGAGAAGCTGAAGCACCACTGAATGTTGGTGCATCACGTTAAATACATGTAGTGAAATACAGATAAGGCGAGATAGCTTTTATTTATTAATTTATTTATTTTAAAGATTTTATTTATTTATTTGACAAAGAGAGAGCGCGCGAGAGAGACAGAGAGCAAGCACAAGCAGGGGGAACAGAAGGCAGGGGAGAAGCAGGCTCCCTGCTGAGCAAAGACCCGCCCCCCCCCCCCCCCATGCGGGGCTCAATCCCAGGACCCTGGGATATGACCTGAGCCCAAGGCATCCGCTTAACTGACTGAGCCACCCAGGCGCCCCTATTTATTTATTTTTTTAAAGATTTTATTTATTTATTTTACAGAAAGAGAGAAAGCACAAGTAGGAAGAGAGGCAGGCAGAGGGGGAGGGAGAAGCAAGAAGCCTGATGCGGGTTTCGATCCCTATTATATTAGAAAATCTATTAGTATGACACAACAATTAATTGCTTAGAGGAGATAAACCACACTATCCTCTCTAGAAATGCCGAAGTGGTATTTTGAATTTATTTAGCATGCACTCTTGAATTTTTCAAAGTATCATTTTATACCAGAAACTCCTTCCTTCCAAAATCATATGCTAAACTTTCTAAGAATACTGGTTAGTCTTCTATTTGGATGACTACTAAGTTTTTCCCACTATGTTCACCTTCTAGTACTTTTGGATGAAAGAGAGTTATAATAATTTAAACAGCTTGATCTAGTGTAAGAATAGTAAAATATTGATATTATATATTAATATTTTATATATGATAAGGAGTATTTAAAATCAGTGAGAAAGAGAGGTCTTTTCTAGTAAACATTATTGGAACAGTTGACTTAGCAATTTGGAAAATGCTAGAGTTACTGTCTTATCAAACATGTTATCCAAATAAGTCTTAGGTATATTAAAGATATATTAATAAAACAAAATTTGAATCATAACATC